ATCAGGTGTGGAAGCTGTGGGTTGAGGATAGAGAAATGGAAGTACCTGAGGAAGAGTTGTTGAAAGAGGCTTGTGCTGTCTCAGAAGTTCTAAGATGTATCCATGTGGCTTTGCTTTGTGTTCAACAAAAACCAGAAGATAGACCAAACATGGCTTCTGTTGTCTTGATGTTGGGGAGTGATGGTTCTCTCCCTCAACCGAAACATCCCGGTTTCTTCACCAACCGGAATGCTCCAGATCTTTCCTCCTCTCTAAGCTTACAGTCACTAAACGAAGTTTCTATTACAATGTTGCAGGGTCGGTAGAAAAATGAAAATGATGTATGAACTATGCTTGGTAATGTAATGTGTCACCAAAAAATAAGAAACAATCAAACATGAAAAAAAGGTTACAGATTATGGAATATACAGAGATCGATTATACAAGGTTTATCTGGGCTCTATTACACTCACGGTTTGTAAATTGTTGGTATGGATCTCGAGATTAATCGACATGGTGTCGGAAAACAAGAGATTTCGTTCGTTGAAAAACCCGGGCTCCTTCGGATCAAGAAGCAACATTTCACTACTCAGCATCAGAACCACCACTGACATGTTTGGTCTGTCTTTAGGATCTTGTTGTACGCATAACAAACCGATATGTATCACTCTTAAAACCTCTGAAACATCGGTACATGACTCCTTGAAAGCTTCATCGATTAGCTCACATGCTTTGCCTTCTGTGTATAGCCTCCAAGCCTGAAGAATTAATTATATGTAATTAAGCTAAGATTAGAAGAAGACGAGTTGATTTGCGTTCGTGCTGTTAATGTACTTACGTGTCCAAGAAGGTTAAGCTTGTGTTCTTGATTGCAGAATCCGCGGTTTCTTCTTCCTGACACTATCTCTAATACCAAAACCCCGAAGCTAAAGACATCGGATTTCAATGAGAAATACCCGTCGATTTGATACTCCGGCGACATATATCCACTGCAGAACAACATAAAAAACAAATCTTTTTGTAAAGGCCATGTAAAATGTTAGCTTGCTTTGGATTGAAGTCACGAAAGAGAGCTAATCTTACTATGTTCCAACAACTTTTGTTGTGTTTGCTTCAGTTTCATCTCCTCCCAAAGTTCTAGCCAATCCAAAATCCGAGATTTTGGGGTTCATTTCGGAATCAAGCAAAACATTGCTGGCTTTAAGATCGCGGTGGATGATTCGAAGCCTCGAATCTTCATGGAGATACATCAGTCCACGAGCAGTTCCTTTGATTATTTCCGCCCGTTTAGGCCAATCGAGTTCTCTGCGCCGTTCTTTATCAAAAATGAAAGAATCCAAGCTTTTGTTCGGTTGATACTCGTAGATAAGCATTCTTTCATCATCCTCCACGCAAGATCCAAGAATCTTTACAAGATTACGGTGTTGAAGCTTTGCAATCAGCTTGATCTCATTCTTGAATTCTTCAATCCCTTGTTTCGACGTTCTTGAGAGCCTCTTCACAGCGATTTCTTGTCCACAAGCCAATGTTCCCTGGTTAAAAAAAAATCTAAACATCTCACCATTTTTCGCGGAATCTGAAAATCGAACAACAAGCTACGATTTGTTACCTTATAGACCGGTCCAAAACCACCTTGACCAAGTTTATTCTCATCAGAGAATCCATTTGTAGCTTCTGCAATCAAGTCAAGATCAAGAAACGGAAACTCAAGATCTTCCTCCTCTTTCTTGCTCGAAACTCGGTCTATACCGCGCTGCAAAGTTTCTGGATAAATCGACGGGTTTAATAAACTTATAAATCCCAACTGAAAATCAAGATACTTAACTTCTTGAGAGTTACAATCATTTACCTATCCTTGCAAGTTTCTTTCTCTTAATGTTGAAGACAGCCATACCTATGCAAAGGCAAATAAGAAACAGTGCTGTGGATAATACTATAATCAGCATCATCGCTAACTTCCCCTTCGCGTGATAGACAGTATACTTTTCTGTGATCGAACCAAAACAAAAAATGGAGCAAGAGTTATATATATGTAACAGTAAAACACTTGTTTCACAAGTCTCTTAACCTATACCTATTTCAGAAGAAGCAAGCCTCACATACAGATCTTGTCCATTTTCATTATACTCTCTTATATCAATCAAATCACCGAACCATAGTATGCATCCACTTCCTCCATCTCTAACATCGAAATGCGAATAAGCCGAACAAGAACAGTTATTCAAGCATACCCTCTTGCATTCATTCAAATCCATGCTCTTATCGTACCACGATGCTCTTGTATCTGGTAACTTCAACTTAGAAATCTTTAGAAAGTCTTCTTCTCCTCTATGACATTCCAATTTCACTCTCCTAACACACCCTTCTGACCAATCTCCTGCAGAGTAAGCCTCTGGAAATTTAGCAACAAACCCTTTTAAACACCTACAAGCCGGAGATTCATTGATATTGCAGCTTCCGTAAGAGCCACACAACTTGTACTGATCACAACTATCCATTTGAGCCGATAAATAGAAGTTCCAACTTTGAAGGCTATCGACCCAAGTGTAACGTTGCAAAGCTCCATTGGGATTAAGCTGCATTCTTGTGATCACTGAAGGGTTTGCGAGCTTGTAAGTGTAGTAAACTTCTTTCTCCGTGAACACAAACTCGTATCGGTAGATAGGGTTAGGCTTTAAGTGAGGCATACCGGTGAATCTTAGACCATTCCATGGACCAGCCCTGAAGACATCAACTGAGTTTCTTTTCAAGAAAAACTGCGGAACACCGTTTGGATCCATTTTATTCGTGTAGTTGCCAATTGATGGATCGTCTGGAGATCTCCAAGATGTCAAGAACCGGTTTAGACCGGTAACAAAATCGATACCGTATTTCATTTCTGGAAGAAACATATCTCCTGGGTAATCTAAACTCTGCCATATGTAATCTTGATCATCCCCTGAGTTTCTCACAACTAAATTGCCTGAATCAAGAATCTGAACAATCGGGTTTCTTACGCGGATTTTCTTTAAAGATGTTGATGACCAGAGGAGGGAGTTTTTGCCATTGAAGAGACTTAAGCTCCCATTTACAGATAATTTTAGGGCCCCTGAGAGATCATGGAGAGGAGAGTCTCTGTTTGCGACCCAGACAACGGTCTGGAGAGAGACTTTCTTGTACCAAATACCGAGATAACGGTTTCTTGATCCTCCGGGAGAGAAAAAACCGAGCTCGAAGTTTTCACCCCTTGAAACAATGGTGTCTCCATCTTTTAGAGTCTGGTTTGCTGTGATAATATCTGTTGATTGTGCGACAAGAAACGTTGAAAACAGAGAGATGAGAAGCAGAGGAAGCACATTAATGGCTTCCATTGCGGTTTCTGTGAAACCGAAGAGAAATGGAAACGACGTTGCTATATAAACAAATGATGTTAATCTCTTGAGAGTCTGATTTTTATTATTTGTTTATAAGAGACATGGAAGAGAATTGCAATCAGTAGCTGTGTAATATCTTGCGTCGTGTTATGATTTGCTCTTAATGTCAACCACAACGTGCCCAAAACTTATTTGTATTTTTTTATTGGAATATATTATAGGACAAAGGATGGAATGATTCAAGGAAGATGCAATTTTTTTAATGTTATGTTTTGGAAATATATTTTAACGAAGAGATCACACAAAGTTTAATAGGCAACTAGTCAATTTACAACGCCATTGCTCAATGATCAATGAAGAGACAATTGAACGAGAGGAGCAATATCAGAGTGAGCAACAAAAGGAATTTGCAAACGGTAGTGGAATTCTTCTTTTGTCAATTTACTTCTTCGTATCTATGTGTGTAGAGGTGCTTATGCACGGTCCTATTATTGTTTCATTAACTTTTAAAAGATTTTAGGACTCTAGTTTTTTAAAAGAGAAAATGTCTCAAAATATCACATTCCAAGTTTATAATTACATGGAATGTCACCTAATTATAGAAATGTCACTTACACGAAATTATGACCAAAATACTCCTCGTGTATTGGTGTGGGAGTGTGCTGAGTATTTAATGCTGGACAGAACATTTAATGTTGGAGGGAGAATGAAACATGTACACGGATAGGTGGATTGTCTGACGTACACCAACGAAACACGTACATATTAACGTACATGAAAACTAATGTCGTACATTTCGCCATTTTGACGTACACCGAATAACTTCCTAATGCGTTGATAATGTACACTTAACAACTTAATGATGATGTATCAAAAGTATGCATACACCGAGAGCCACTATAATCATTAGATATGTAGTGTATATATAGTTTCACTTAGTGTACATGACTGGTGACATATATATATATGTGAGTGTACATAGTTTTATTGAGTGTACATGGTATTTGGGTATGTGCATATCACCCAGTATTCGTGTACCTATTGGGGTCAAAACTCCGCTCGGCTGAAATCATCAAGAAAATGGCTAATTATCAAGCTGACAAACTGTATTGGCGAGCTGACAAACTGTATTGGCGAGCTGACAAGCTGAATCGTTTTATTGGCGAGCTGACAAGCCAAACATCTCAATG